GGTCGCGCGAGATATCATCACCTACAGCCCCCCCCACCCACCCACCCACCGACAAGCATGGGGCCCTCTCGTCGCCCAGCTTGATAAGTTTGCGTTGTTTTGGCGCGCGCAGCCGTTGCCCGAGGCCCGCCAAGTCGGATGCACCCCCTGGGGCCGTCGCCTTCGTTTTCGGTTGAAGACCTGCGTCGGGCGGCCCGGTCGTCGATCGTTCTCCGCCCGCCCCGCCATCTCGGTCGATGGGTTCCACGCTCGGTCGCCCTGGCACTTGTCCGACCAGGCCCTGGAGGTTTTGGCTATTATGTCTTCGAAATGGGAACGATCGGGTCTGCTGCCTGGGCAGATGATGGTTGTCCCCTTGATTATGCTTGCCAAGACTGACGGGGGGCGCCGCCCGATGGGCTCGTTCGTTTCCATGTTTTGTTTGCGGGTGAGGATTTGTCGCCGTTTCGCCCAGCGTTGGGGGTCCGCCCACGCTCCGCATCATTCCTGCGCTGGTGCCTTTGCCTCTAGTGTCGACACTCTCTGGGGGCAAGGGGTTCGGAAGGAGGTCGCGGCGGCTTCCCGGGACTGCTCTGGCTCGGTGCTCCAGGGCCTTTTCAAATTCTACGAGTCCGTGGAGCTCGACCTCCTCCTAGCCCGCTGCCGCCAGCACGCGTTTCCTATGCGCATTGCCCGCGTCTGCTACTCGGCCTACCGCTCGCGCAGATATGGCGATGAACGGGCGCGCCGAGGTTCCGCGGTCTGCTTTCCCAGATCGGTCTCGCTCAGGGTGCATATCGATGACGACGCGGCGTCGTCTTCTGAACCCCCCAGGGCTGTCGTCCAGGACCTTCTGGAAGGTGCGTTCAAGTTGCAAGTTGCGATCAAGTCCGATGAAGGCTGTGCGAGTTCTGTTAAGGGGGCGGCCGTAGTCGCCTCGTTGCCTATCGTTGCTAAGGAGATTCGCGGAGGCCTTGGCGCTGTCGGCGGCGCCCCCTGCGCTGCTGCCATCAGCCTGGGCATCGACGATGCTGCGGGGCAACCGAGGGGGATGGCTGGGAGGGGTGATCGCATTACGGCTCGGGAACAGGATTTTAAGAAGAAGATTCACAATCTGGGCGCGCATCGTCTTGCCCTGGGCCGCCATGCCAAACGTATTTTTGCCAGTGGGCTGTTGGCCAGCAGGACCTACGGATGCGAGGTGAATGGCACCTCTCACGTTGAACTCTCCAGTTTGGTGCGGTCTGTTTCCTGAGCCCCTCGGCTGGAGGTCGGTCGCTCGCGGCAGCTTGGCTGTTCGCCGCTGACCCCGCATGGCACTGCGCTGTGGCCCCGATCGTTCGCTGGTCCAATGAGGTCTGGGCCAGTTTGACGGCCGCGATTGCTTTCGGCCTCGGCCTGGCTGAGTTGCGTCGGTCCTGGGGCACCGTTTTCGCGGGCCCCCTCCCTTCTTGGGGGAGAATCGGGGGCCATGTCGGGGCCCCGAGGCTCTCTCGGTTGAGCGCCTTGGATGGAAGATGGCGTCTTTCACGACCCTGGTTGATGATTTGGGCGTCGAGGTTCAGTTGGCCCCTGCGCGCCCATTTGAAACTCTTCCTCCGCGCTGCCGTCTTGAGATCCCACAAGCGAGCCTGCGGAGACGGCCTCGGCCTCGATCGGCGCGCTTGTTTGGGCGCCCCGCTCGCGGCGACGGCGTCTTCCAAGCTCACGCCGTGGGAAATGGCTGTGTCCGAGGGCTCGTTTGTCAGGCCCCTTGGACCAGGGTTCGTGCTTCCGAGCACGGGCACATCCTGCCTGACCTCCTCTGCCCCCTGCGCGGCACGGAGTTGGGCGCGATGTTTCATGGGCTCTGGAAGTGCCTGCACCAGTCCTGCGCCGAGCTTCGGAAAGAGCTGGTCGGGGATGATTGTTTCTCCCCTCCTGCCTGGGCTACCCCATCCAAGCATGGTCAGGTGCTGTATACTCTGGGCATTATGTCTTATCCAGGTGATTCATTCCCTCCCCCTACCAGAGCTGAGCCTTCTGTGTTTCACGGTTGTGACCCAGGACGTGATGACTATCTGGCGCAGGGATATATGTTCATGAACGGTTCGTGCATCCGCTCCGTCATTGAAGAGCTGTCGAGGACGGATTGGGCGTATGTTGCGGCGTTCGTGTCTGGGCAGGAGTTGGGTCATGTGTTCGCTCCTCTCGCTCTCTCCATCCCTCAGACTGCTCAGGCAGGCGAGTTTGCTGCGTGCGCTGCCGCCTGTCAAAACGCACTGGAGCAGCCGGTTGGTTTCAGCGGCTGTCAGAACATTGTGCAGTTGTGGGCCCTCCCGCGGCCTGATCAGTTGTCTTTCAGGCGCGTGTATGCTGGCATGTTTGTTTGGACGGCTGGCTCTAAGATGGGAGATTTTTTAAGGTTCAAGGTCACATGTCCGATGAGCAGGCGTCGGGCGATGACCACTCCAAATTCTGCAAGGTTGGGAACGACCTAGCCGATCACTACGCGAAGCTCGGGGCCTTGGCCCACGAGAGGCCGAGCCCCGAGCAGTCTGAGTGGCTCGACCGAGCCCTCGCCATTTCCAGGCAGGTTTGTGCGCTGGCTGCCAGGCTGCTACAGCTGTGGCCCGCGTGTGACCTGTCAGAGGCCAGACGTGAGCAGCGTGAGCCTGTCGCTCCCGTTCCCAAGGTCCGCCATTCCTGGGTTTGGAGGGGCGTCTTTTGGCAGGCCAAGCTTTGTTTACGGGTTGCGCGGTCTTGTTAGCTTTCCAACAGTGTCTGTGCGTCTGCCCACAAGGTCTTTAACACTCAGCTCATAGAGCTTGGCCAGAAGTGCGTCGGGTTATCCTGCTCGGACGGCAGTGCATTATGCATATGCTTGAAGTGCAAGGCCTTCTCGACTGGAGGATATGCGAGGTACCTGAGCCAGAAGTGCGACGGTCACCCTCGATGCCCTCGGTCGATTCAATACTAGTGGAACCGCATCACGGCTGGTCGGCACCCGAAGAGCGATTGTGTTTGGCTCGACGTGTACGCTGTCAGCGTGGTGCGGCTTTTCGTTTGACGCCTGCCGTGAGCCCAGTCTAGGCCAGGGGGGCATGGCCCCGACGTGTGGCTTGCACCCTGCGCAGGCAACCCAACGTGCATGGATGTCTCCTGCGCTGGGCGCGTCTCAAGTGCTGTAGCTCAGCGGCTGCCTGGTTGGCAGCCAGGAGGACTGCACAACTGTTGCAGCAGAGTAGCGCAGCGGCGAAAAAATCCTCCTCCTCCTCCTCCTCCACCTCCTCCACCTCCTCCTCCTCCTCCTCCTCGTCCTCCTCCCCTTCCTCCTCCTCCCCCTCCCCCGCCTTCCCTGAGACTCGATGTCTGTTCATGGGGGCCCTTGGCGGCGACATTGGAATCTGTTATTCCTGCATTTGGACCGCCTTCTCCGTCCCTGGATGGTAAATCGCGAGAGCTGCTCGCTTGGAATGGACCGTATATCGGCGACTAGCGTCCCACCAACGCTCAATAGCGCGCACAGGCGCCAAATAGCACCGAATAGCGCTCAACAGCGCCCAATAGCATTCAATTCGCGTCGAAGAGAGCCCAACAGCGCAAGGGGGTGTTCCTCCTCCTCCTCCTCCTCCTCCTCCTCCTCCTCCTCCTCCCTCCTCCTCCTCCCTCGAGTATTCTTACCCTCTGGGCCATAACGTGCGTTATGCCCCCTCCCCCCCCCTTCCTCGACCCCCCCCCCACGATAACGTAACGCTCCCCCCCCTCTGTGCGCCCCTGGCACTGTCGCAGTGCGTCCGGTAGCACGGTTTGTGGTGCCGGACCCACACGGCAGGGGGGGCGGCGTTACGTCATGCCCCCATCCCTCATGACGTCGGGGCGCTGAAGAAGGAACCCTTTTTGTTGGGGAGGGGCTCCGTGTTCCTTAATTGTTTCGCAGCTTGCCCTAGGTTTTCCTTAGATTTTCGATACGAAATCGAAGTTCAACTTCTGAAAAATAGGGGCCTCGTTCCTTATTTAGGGTTCCCTAGGTCGACGCCCCGACTGTAACGCCCGTCATCGCAGCGAGTACAAATTGCTTGAGGTCCTAGTACCTCAATTTTCAGGCCCTGGGACCACCGCAGGTTGCAGAGCAATGCGGTTCGAAGAGTACCGCAGAAAGATGGGGTCTAGGGCCCGCGACGCGTTTTTTTGTCAACGATGTTGTTTTTGTTCTGTTGCAGCGTCGGATCTTAGTGCTCCTCCTCCTCCTCCTCCTGCTGCTACTCCCCTCGGGCTCCTTCCCCTCCTCCTCCTGCATCCGCGGCCGTGGCACCCATCCAGCTCAAGGACGAGTGGCCACCTGGCCCAGGCGTGTAAGGACGTCAGTCCAGGGGTGCAAATGCACATGATTTAGCAATTCACGTTCTTGACGCTTCGCGCGTTCCCACCAGCCCAATCATCAACAGACGCCAGGTTAATTGCCCTGATCAGGGAAGTATAGCAGCAGGCGGCACAGCAGTGAACCGTATCCGTCTTCAAATCGGCGCGGGCCTTGGAGACCCCCTTTGGTAGACTGAGACGACGACGACGACGACGACGACGACGACGACGACGACGACGACGACGACGACGACGACGACGACGACGACGACGACGACGACGACGACGACTCTTCGAGCCATCGTGGGGCCATCCTGAAGGCCTCTTGGGCCCAGGGGCTCCCTTGGGGCCCTCTGGGGCGCTCTTGGGGCTCTCTTGGGGCCCTCTTGCGGGCTTTTGGGTCCATTCGGGGGCCATGTTTGAGGCCATCGGTCAAAAGAGGGGGGGGTCGCCGATGTGCCCATCCCCCCCCCCGCCGATGCCTCAAAATGACCTCTTGGGGCCCTTTTGGGGCTGTCTTGGGCGCCCTCGGGGCCGTCCTGGACCCCTCTTGGGGCTCCCCTTGGGGCTCCCTTCGGCCATCTCGGAGACATTTGGAGGCCTCGGGAGCCCAGTGGAAACGAAACGGCGAGAAGGCGAACATCATTACTTGGCGTTCCTACTGGCAACGCGATGACTGTAGCCCATTGGGCTTGAATGTGTTGCCAACCCGACCTCACAGCGCAGCAGGTGCCAGACTCACCATGGTTAGCGAGGACAGGGAGCCCCCACAGGACGAGGAGGTCGCCGCCGCTGTGGAGGCGGCGATCCAGGCGCGAGGTGGCGCCGTCGCCGCACACCTGCTGTTCCAGAGCGCGCCCGAGCTGCGCAAGATGCTCGCGGACCGCAGGCTCCTGCGGTTCCTGCGCTGCTTCCCAGACCGCTTCGAGATCGCGGACGGGAGCCCGAGGGAGCCTGCCGAGATCCGCACGCGCCGGCCGTTGCCGCCTGGCGGCGTGGCCGTGGACGACGCCCAGCCGCACGTGGTCTGCGCCCGCAGGCTTTTGGCCGAGAGCGTATGGGCGGCTTTGATCAAGCACGGGAGCAGGAGCTGTCCGGGGCTCGCGGACGGGGCGGCCAGGGAGCCGGGCCCGACGCCGTTGCCATGGCTGGTGAGGGACAAGGCCGTGCGGCAGCGGTTGCAGGGCCTCCTCGTCGTGCGGCCGAGCCTCCCGCTGCTGCATCACAGGGACGCGGCGCTCGTTGCAGAGCTCGGCCGCAGCGGGGCGTGGTGGGCAACGCTGGCCGCGCATTTGGAGGCTTTCCTGGCTGAGTGGCCGGTGGACCAGGCGACGCTGCCCGCGCCGGAGCTGGTCGAGGAACCGCACCTTCCGTGCATGGTGGACTCTGGAACAGGAACGGCACCATGCGCGGCAGGTGTCGTTCCTCGAGCAGCACCGCCAGGTGGAGGCTGGGACGTCTGCCGGCCGCCTAAGGGAGCTGGGCTACCGCTGCCCCTGCCGCGTACACGTAGCAGTGCGAGCCAAACCCGCGGCCCCCGGCGCTGGCACGGGCGCAGACAGCGGCCACGCTGACAAAGAGCTGGCGGCGCGGCTGCTGCTGCTGCTTGACGGGTCCAGCGCGCCCCTGGACCGCGTCGGCAAGGACCCAAGGGTGCAGCGCCTCTTGCGCCAGAGCCGCTGGGCTGGCGACTGCCGCGGCTTGCTGGCTTGGCTGCGCGAGCGCCCTGAGCTCTTCTGCCTCTCCCCGGCGGCCACCGGGCAGCTGCTCGTCGCGCCCGCGGGAGCAGGTCACGCCACGGGGCCCAGGAGGGGCGCGGCGGCGCCGCGGAGGAAGCCCGCCCGCCGCCCGCAGGCGGCAGATGGAGGCTCCGACAGCGAGGGGCTCCCGAGCTGCAGCGCGTCAGGATGGAGCGGTGACCCTTCGCGCCAGTGCCTGGGTCCCGTCGTCGTGCTGGGGGAGGCCCCCGGCGTGATCGCTGTGCTGAAGGAGGCGGGCGTGACCACCGAGCAGCTCCTCGCGCGGCTGCGCGCGCAGCTGCTGGATGCCGGCGCGGACGGCGAGGTCGCGTCCGTGTCGCGGCTGGACCGGATGACCTCGGGCGTCCTGGTCGCCGCCAGGGGCGGCGCTACGGCCTTCCTGGCCGTCAAGGCCCAGTTCGCGGGCAGGAGCGTGCAGAAGGAGTACCTGGCGCTCTGCGGCGGGGAGCCGCTGGGCCCCCCGGGCTCGGAGGGGGAGGTGAGTCGCAGGCTGCTGCTGGGCAGGGGCCAGTACCGCGCCTTCGTGTCCCCGAAGGGCAAGGAGGCCCGCACGCTCTACCGCGTCCTGGCCGCGCACCGCCACCCCCTGGCGGGGCCGGGCCTGGGCGGCGACGAGCTGGGCCCCGCGCTGGGCCGCCTCGCGCTCGCCGGGGGCCCGCGGAGGACGCTGTCGCTGCTGCGCGTCCAGCCCGTCACGGGCCGAACGCACCAGATCCGCGCCCACCTGGCGCACCTGGGGCGGCCCCTCGTGGCCGACCTGAAGTACAGCCCGCGGCGGGGCCGGCAGGACCTGCTCTGGTGCCCCCGGCTCTTCCTGCACTGCGCGCGCGTGGAGCTGCGCGACCTCGAGGGCGCGCCCTTCGTGGCCCTGGCCCCGCTGCCGGAGGACCTGCGGCGCACGCTGCGCGCGCTGCCTCTCGCCGGCTCCGGCGGGCAGGGGGGCGGTGCCGGCGCAGCCCCGGCCGGTGCAGAGGAGGTCGATGCGAGCGAGGGGGCCTGCAGGGAGTGCGCAGGCGAAGCGGACGGGGGGCTGTACACGGCGCGCGACTGACGTCTGTGTGTTCTTGCGGGCACCTGACAGCGTAGGCCTCAAGAGCGGAAGCGAAGGCGAAGGGATGCGAAATGACGGCCTCGCTACATTCAGGGGGAGGGCGGATCGCAGGGCAGGGAGGGTGACGTCGCCGGGGGGGTAAGGAACATGAGCAGGAGCAGGATCAGGGAGAATGGTAGAGCGGTTTGACGAGGAGGAGGGGGGAGGAGGAGGAGGAGTACGAAAAGAAGAGGAGGTGGAGGAAGAGGAGGAGGAGGAGGAGGAGGAGGAGGAGGAGGAGGAGAATGAGGAATACGACTAGATGAGCAGGAGGAGGAGGAACAGGAGGAGGAAGAGGAGTACGTGAAGAAGGGCGCTACGATCCCAGTCGACGTAAATTTGTCCGACGTAAGCGAGAATGATAGTATGTAATTACAAGGATGGCGTCGCCCTCCTGGAGTTAAATGTGGAGTAAGGATGAGAAGGACGATGATGAGAATGGGAGGAGATTAGGGAGAAGAGGTGATGAGAGATGGAGGAGGGGGGAGGGAGGAGGACAAGGGGGAAGAGGGAAGGTGGAAGCGGGGAGCGCCGAGGAGGGAAAAGAGCAGAGGCAGGTGTGGTGGGAGAGTTCTTACGAGGAGCAGCAGGCAGAGCAAGCATCCAGAAAGCAGGGATTTCACGCTTGGAAGGGAGGCCAGCGCAGCAGGACCGACCACTCTCTAGGGTGGTAAAGGCTGGGCGCTAAATTACGCCTCACTGAGGCCCCAGCTGGTGACCCCACACCTGGGAGGGAGCAACTTGCGAATCCTGATCACAGAGGTGTACTGGGCCCTGACCAGAAAGCCGCCGCCAAAGCGCACAGTTTAGCACTCGCTCAAAAAAAGTCCTGGGCTCTGCGAAGACGAAAGAAGCATCATCCGCGCGCCGAACAAAAACAGTACGCACCCTTCGTCCAGCAGGTATGGAATGGGTGCAATTCGGTAGCAAATCATGGGAGCCTGGTACACTCTCTCAATTCCATCTCTAGCGTCGATGAGCGTCGACTAGCGTTTTGGAGTCGGTGACATGGCGTCGGTGAGCGTCGACTAGCGTCGATTTGGCGCCGACTAGCGTCGATCCGCAGGAGTCAACAAGATGGTATGGGAGACTCCCATGACTTGCCAAAGAGGGTGCAACATCTTGCCAAGACGCACTCGGCCTGGTTCCGCCGCAGCCAGGCACGGGCTCCTGGGGCGGGCGGTCACCGCGAAGGTTTTTTTGTTTAAGTCGGGCATGTCTCTCTGCAGTAGGAATCTTCACGAATAGTACAAAACTAGTCTGGTAACATTTGGTTGCCTTTTCACTGCTGATTTGTTTTTTTGTTCGTTTACCTTCCAGCCTCCGCCTGTAGGAGGACATGCCCGACCTAACGGTAAAGGTCTTGCGCGCAGACTTCCCGCAAACTCGGGCGGAGGCGAGGAACCTGTGGGCCGAAGACGCCACCGCCGCCGTCCCCCTGGCCGCACGACGCACTGGAGACAGTACTCTCTCAGGAACACCCTCGCGCTCGGGTGAACGGGAGACGGCAGCCTCGGCCAGACACAAACCAGCATTCCTTCCGAGAGTCGATTCAGCATTAATTTTGAGGTCGAGAGCTACGTCGGGATCGGTCGGACTCGACAAACACCGCCCAACACGGGCGGGATGGGACGGAAGGGAGCGGGAGGGGGGCAGAAGGGGACTTCGGGGTGGACGAGCAGCCCAGTCCCCCGACGTCATGGTCAACCATACCTTCGCTACTCTGGTAAATGATATGGTAGTTTCCACGGTAAGCCATATGATAGCTCTCATGACGACGATCCCCAGAAGTCTCGACCCGTTCCCCAGGAGCGTTTTTCAACCTGGGCCGTAGCCATATGATAGCTCCCATGACGTCGATCCCCAGAAGTCTCGACCCGTTCCCCAGGACCGTTTTTCAACTTGGGCCTTTCTTGGACAGCCCCGAGGCTTGGTAAAAGGCCCCAGAGGACGAGCAGGGCGGAACACCGTCCGTCGTGTTATTTCCATGATTTGAGGGGGTCTCGAAGTGTCGGGCCGATTTTCTACCACCGCTACCATAGAGAGGAGGAGGAGGAGGAGGAGGAGGAGGAGGAGGAGGAGGAGGAGGAGGAGGAGGAGGAGGAGGAGGAGGAGGAGGAGGAGGAGGAGGAGGAGGAGGAGGAGGAGGAGGAGGAGGAGGAGGAGGAGGAGGAGGGGGAGGGGGAGGGGGAGGAGGAGGAGGAGGAGGAGGAGGAGGAGGAGGAGGAGGAGGAGGAGGAGGAGGAGGAGGAGGAGAAGGAGGAGGAGGAGGAGGAGGAGGAGGAGGAGGAGGAGGACGATCTCCCTCCTCCCCTGCCTCACCCGTGGTGGCCGTGGTGGAAAATCTGGCCCATCGGGAGGGGCGCCCCGCGAAAGGCCCCCGCCTCGGCCGGCCCCCGGGCCCGCCGCCGTCGGCCGCGCCGCGGCGCGACGACGGAGGTCCGCGCCGCGGCGATGGAGGTCCTGGGCGACCTGCTGCCCCTCGTGGCGGCCGCGGAGGGCGGGCCCGGGGAGGCCGCGGAGGCCCTCGAGGAGGCTCGGGGGCCCCCAAACGGGGTGGTGACCACACCGTGTGGTGAGTCGGTGGGGATTCGGGGTCACCGAACGGTTTTGGGACTTGGGTCGTCCTCCGAGGATGTCTCGGGCGACTGGAGCCTCCAGGGTCCCAAAACCGTGTGGTGACGGACCGTGCGGTGAGGTCTTTGCGGATTTCGAGGTCACCGCCGGGTCTGTCACCACACGGTTTTGGGACCCCCAAGAGGCCCTGCGGGGGGGGGAGCCGGCGGGCCTCTGCGAGCGGGGCAGCGGCGCGCAGGGCGCGTCGTCCGTCGTCCTCCGTCGTCCGCCGTCGGTCGATCGTCGTCGTCGTCGTCGTCGATCGTCGTCGTCGGGAGGCCGCGGAGGCCCTCGAGGAGGCCCTTCGGGGGGGGACTGGCCACGCGCAGAAGGGGGCAGGTTGGTAGTCCCCAAACGTGGTGGTGACAATACCCGGTGGTGAGTCTCGGGCGAGTTGGTGTCACCACCCGGTTTGGGGGGACTCGTGCGGTTTTCCGAGGATGTCCCGGACACTGGTTGGTCCAGGAGTCACAAAACCGGGTAATGACCCCGCGTCCCCAAACCCAGCGGTGACCTTTTGGGGGATTCCAGGTCGCCACCTGGTATCTCACCACCCGGTTTGGGGGTTCCCAAGTAGGGGGAGGGGGGAAGGCTTCTTAGAAGCACCCCTGCTCTCTTAGGAAGGCGCGGGCCTTCTTTGTAGGTGTAAGGCCGGCGCCTTCTAAGAAGCAGCCTCCTTCTAAGAGGCCTTCCCCCCTCCCCCTACCCCCTTGTGCGCGCCGCCAAGGGGAGCCGGCGGGCCTCTCCGAGCGGGGCAGCGGCGCGCAGGACGCGTCGTCCGTCGTCCTCCGTCGTCCGCCGTCGGTCGATCGTCGTCGTCGATCGTCGTCGTCGTCGTCGTCGTCGATCGTCGATCGTCGTCGATCGTCGTCGTCGTTGATCGTCGTCGTCGTCGTCGTCGTCGGGCCCGGGGAGGCCCTTGAGGCCCTCGAAGAGGCCACCCGCCCGCCGCGGGGGCGGCCAGGTGGGGGGTGATGATTGTGTGTGTGTGTGGATATTCGGAGGGGGAAAGTCGGGGTGGACAGACCTCCTACCCTGACACGTCGATTCAGGAATTTGCCGTTTTCGGTTCGCGAGGGGGCGTCGCGGCCATCATTTTTGCGGGTCCAGGTCCGTCGGTTTCGGTCCCAGGCCGTTTTCACTAAGGGGAGGTTTTCTAAAGGGTTGTTTGTCCACCGCCGAGAGAGGTAACAATACTGCTACCCTTCGCCCATTTCCCCCTTTTTGTGCCTCCTCGGAGGCCCTCGTCGTCACCGCTGGATTCGCCTCGAAATTCTGGTCAGAACGCACCCCGGGAGATGACTGGGACGTAGCGGTACCGGTGCCTCGTGGTTCCCCCAAAGAGAGGGGGGATGTCGACCGAGGGCTCCTAGATGGGGTCGGAGTAGATGGGGTCGGAAATCGCGCTGCATCGCCGATGCATCGTCGATGCGCCTCGATGCGGAGCCCGCTTTTCTCCCCGCCGACGTCGCCGATACGCCGCCGACGTCGCCGATACATCGACGTCGCATCACATATGCATCGCCGATGTATCGGCGATGCGGCGCGAGTTTCCGATCCCGTCTACTCCGACCCCATCTGGGAGGCCAAGAGGGGGGTGACGGCTGTGTATGTGTGTGGATCTCACGGCGGGGGTCATGATATCTTCCAGGTATCATGGCCCCCTCTTCGTTTTTCAAGGGCGTAATTCAGATAGTGTTCACGAATGGTTGCAGAGCACGGGCCGCGGGGCGGTCAGGGCAAACGTCGGAAGGCGCGACGGAAAAGGATGTGGATTCAACCGGAAGTTGGTAAAGGCTGGCCGCTGCAATCTACCATGCAGTTGTACCAGGACGCCCCCACGAGTTGTACATCAGGAGCCACTGAACGAAAGTTAGAACCTGGAGGACCGTAAACATGGAGAGGAAGCGGGAGAACGAATAGCCACAAGATAACATTGGGAAAGTCGCTCGACCGTCCTAGGCCTGGTTAAAAACCTGGCAGTTGTACCAGGACGTTCAGAGAGAGGGGGCTCTGCGCTGAAGCCGGGGGAAATCGGACGGCGGGGCCGCGTCCACGTTCCAAGTGGCTTTCCGCGCGGGACGATACCAAATCGGAAGACGGACGAACAAAGCAATAACATATATATATATATATATACACATACATGTAAAATCGGAATACGGACGAACCAATTACGGACCACGTAGAGCAATTCATTGGGCAACGGGGCAAATCGACCACTAAGCATGACTGATTATGTCGTGCGGCAGTGTTTCGGCACACCGCTGTGTCAAAGGCGACGTCCACAAACGAGCAGGCAGTCAACGTCTTGATCCATAGAGGGGCTTTGCAAGGTGTTGCGGTTGACCCAACAAGGCGCGAAGCGAAAGAAGTTCATTGCTGGTGTTCTGGATGATCTGTATAATTTATTA